TTATTAAGGCTCTTTAATGAGTAGATTTCAGTCATTTAAAATATAAACATGTAATTTTGGCTTTAAATCTACAAAATAAATTTAACAAAACTTGAATAATAGGAAACAATGATTTCCTGTTCTTATGAGAAAAACTAGTTTGTAATTGAATAATTTTAAACCAGGAAGAGCCACAACTTTGTCCATAGTTGTGTTTTCTGTGTTTTATAAATACAGAGCTTCTGATTGTTTCTTGATATTAGTAGACATAGGCTAGTCATGTAAGACCTTGACACTATTCCATTTCAATAATTTATAAAATAATATTAAATAGTAATATGTACAGTTGGACCTACAGTTGCATGAGTTCACATTCATACTACTTTTATATAACATTATGTACTTAGACCAATCCAACTTTCATGGACGTGGGATGGCCAAGTACCCTTTAGCTGCATGCCTGAAGTTTCATTGTGAATATTTCATTTCACTATGAATATTTGTTGGTCAGTAGTACTAAATCAAATGTTAAATGTATTTAAAATTGTCTGACCCTACTACAGCACCTAATCCTGTACCCTCTCCTTCTACCCTTCTAAAGCACCATAGATTCTTTTGTTACCCTCTTTGTCTGTGTGTGTGTTGGGAGGTGCTGAGAATTTAGCTGAGGGCCTGGGGATTGATGGGCAAGTGCTCTGCCACTAAGGTACATACCTAGCCCTGCTGCCCTCTTGATGGTCCACAATCCTCACCTAGGCCTGGACAGAATTGCCTTTTTGTCTCCTTTCCTCAAAGCTCTTAGTAAGAATGTTCATTCTTTTTTTGCTTTTTCTGTTTTGTTTTTTTGAGAGGGTCTCACTATGTAGTCTAGGCTGGCCTCAAATTCTCTTCAGCCTCCTGACTCAGCCAAGCAAGTGCTGAGATTGCACAATCTCAGGTGTATTTTTGCATTCTTAACTAGGTGTTTAGAAGATTGATTAAAGTGAGTCACATTAAGTTATATATCCTATGGAGATTGGGAGGACTGTGGTTCAAGGCCAACCTGGGCAAAAAGTTTCCCAGACCCATCTCAACCAATACTTGGGTAGTGGTGCACACCTTTGTCATCCCAGCTACATCAGGAAGCTTAAAACAGAAGGATCATGGCCCAGGCTGACCTGGCAAAAAGTGAATCCTTATCTCCAAAGTAACCAGAACAAAAAGGGCTGGAGGTGTGACCCAAGTGGTAGAGTGCTTCAAAGTGCCAAACCCTGAATTAAAGTACTGAGTCCAGTACTGCCCCAAAATAAAAATGTTATGAATGGCTGCCACCCAATTCTGCGAAGGCTGTACCTTTTTTTGGGGTGGGGGGGATACATAGGTGGGACTGGGGTTTGAGCTGTGCAAGGGCTTTACTCTTGCAAAGCAGGTACTTTACTACTTGCAAAGCACATCTCCAGTCCATTTTGCTCAGGTTATTGTGGTGATGAGGTCTTGCAAACTATTTGACCAGGCTAGCCTCAAACCAAGATCTTCCAGATCTCAGCCTCCCTAGTAGCTAGGATTGCAGGTGTGAGCCACTGACACCTGGCTTAAAAAGGAGCTTTGTACAGTTGGGGTTTTCCTTCTTAATGGATCCTAGTCTAACTGGGTAGACTTTCCACAGTCTACAGAGATAATAGGGAGTAACAGGATAGCTGGTCCTGGGACTGCTTCTCAAACACCCTTTTTTGAAGTAAGCTTATTATTCCACAGAAGTTTGTGTTTAAATACTTAATCCTTTCAAAAATAAACACTTTTTCATTGATCAGTGTTTTTTTTTTAAACCTTTTATAGAAGTTGAGATTTGAAGTATGTCTTTAATTCCTGAGTTACCTTGTTCTGCACATTGACAAAGATTTGTAGATAGCAATTTAAGCAAAGCCTACATATTGTTTATAGTTCTATCCGTAATTCTGTATACTTGTTCCTGGAATAGGCGTCAGTATTTTCGCTCCCAAATGGCAAACTGAACCAACAAAGGATTCAGTATTATTTTAACGATACTGAGCACAGATATTCAGGATGCTAATCTTGGTTTGTAATTCACTTTTGGTTTTCTACAAAATCATCAAATTAGTTGACTTCTTTGCTATTATTTTTATTTACAAAGCAGAAGATGCTGTGACTACCTCATGATGTTAGCATGTTTCAGTCATTTATTTTTATATTGTTTGTTAATGCTAGATGTTTAATAGTAATGTTTGAGTAGCTTTTTAAACTTATTTACAATGTAAGCATAAATGTGAGTTATGTCAAATTTTGCATTTAAAATGAAAGACTGGCTACTCCATATGTACTTATAATGTTTTGTGTGTTTAAAAATCAGGGAAATATTAAATATACGTGAGAAAATTCCTTTCTAAAGACACTTTAAAATATATTCCTGTCTGAGATACTTTTACAGAATTATGCTTTTTTCTTATGTTCTGTGTACTTTATAATTTGGAAGGCGATTTCTTTTTTTGCTTATGAAAAATAGTATATTGCTTTCCTAGCTCTTTATCTCAGAAATAATTAAGTAAACTGACTACACCAGGAATTTTTTTTATTTTTGCCAAATTTTTTAGTTTTTGTCTGTGTATTGCTTTGTTGCTTTTTGAAGAAATACAGTATCAGCCAGCCTTCAAGAGAAGATAAATGCAGGGTGTGGTGATTCATGCCTGTAATCCTAGCACTCAGAAAGCTAAAGCAGAAAGATTGTGAATTCAAGGCCAGCCTGGGCTACATAACAAGACCCTGTCTCCAGGAACCAAGCAAAAACAATGCCAACAAAAGAAAAGATGAGTGTTAGATCTGTTACCTGTCTGTGCTCCTGTTCTGAGAAATAACATACCTTCACACTGAGGTTTCTTTCCTATCATCTGTTTCCTCCTTCTAAGTTTAGTAATACTAGTTCAAGTTCTTTCTCTTGACATAAATACTAAATAAATTTAAATTCTAGATGAAAAAAAATAATGTGATTAACATATTGCATGCTGACGTAAAGTCAAATTGTGTTTATGGGGTACAATAAATTGCTGTATATTGATTTGGGTGTTGGTTACATGGGTAAACATATATGTAGAAAAATGAGTCAGCTGTGTACTTTAGAATGGCCATGTTAACTGGGTGGTGGCAAATGTTTGTAATCCCACCTATGCTGTAGATGGAAAGAGCCTCAAGCTCAACTAGAATAAGAACCAGCAAGACCTTATTTTAAAAGGAAGGTGGGTTACAAGGTTCAGGCCGGCAATCTCAGATACTCAGGAGACAGAAATAAGGAGGAGTGAGCTACCAGGTTGCCCCAGGCAAAGTGTAAGACTCTACCTTAAAAAAAAAAAAAAAGAAAGAAAAGAAAACACTAAAAGCAAAAGCGCTGGTGAGTTTACCCACATTTGGGCATACATTGAGAAACCCCTTTGAACATCAACTTAAATATTACCAAAGAAGGGCTGGTGGAGTGGCTCAAGAGGCAGAGTGCCTGCCTAGCAATTGTGAGGCCCTGAGTTCAAACCCCAGTACCACGAAATAAATAAATAAATAAATAATATTACCAATGAAAAATAGGACTGTAATTAAAATAAGTATATTTTGGGGGTTTACTAGTGGGAAGAGGAGAGTGAATGAAGGAGATTAAGGTGATGATGTATGGTTGATGGACTTCATGTACCTCTATGAAATGAGAAAACTTGCAATTGCTTTAAGTGGGGTGGGGAGGAGGTTAAGGGGAAGAGATGATGGGGGCAATGTAACCAATGTACAGTATAAGTCTATTCAGAATTGTCCTTGTTAATTCCCCCGTATAACGAATATCCTAATAAAAAATGTATATAAAAAAAGAGACCTTGTTAACACCCCCACTCAAAAAAAGAGAAAGAACTGGGGAGTGGCTCAAGGGGTAGTTTGCTTGAGGTGTTGAGATAAATCTTCAGTGATGCCAATGTAAATAAATACGTAAACAAACAAAGGGCTTTTTGTATATTTAAATGTATGCATCCTTGCTGGGCACCAGTGACTCATCCCAGTTCCTAGCTACTGGGAGGCTGAGAACAGGAGGGTCAGCCTCCTGTTCGAGGGTCAACAGTTTGAAGCCAGCCCTGATGAATAGTTTGTGAGACATCCCCCCCCATCTCCAAAATACCCAGATGAAATGGATGGGAGTTGTAGTTCAAGCAGTAGAGCATGCTGAATTCAAAACCCAGTCCCAAAAATGGAATTCATGTCATATTTTGGAAATAGCACTTATATTAGTGAAATTTTGAGAGGTAAGAGACCTAAGCACTGTTGGTTGCATTTTTTTGTCTTTAACAGTATTTTAGAACAACTTGGTCATAATGTATGAGGGCCCACCCTAGGTGCTGTCAGACCAAAGAAAGAGGGATAGACAGATCTACAGTTGCACAGAGTACAAGTTTGGGGGACGAACTGACAGAAGCATGGTTCTGGGTGGCTGCAAGACCATTTGAATTCCCTAAATTTGGGTGAGAAAGAATGGAAAAAAGTGATTTAATTCTGGCTGGAATTCTCTCAATTTATCTTAAAATTGAGAGTCAGGTGCATCCCAAAGCCAGTGTCCCTATTTAAAGCTTCATGAATGACTCTAATGGTTTTGTCTAATAGTGTTTGTAGGAAAAAGTGACTAGGGTTACTCTGGGGCCACCATAGTGGTTACGAACCAGGATGGCTACCGTCATGTCAAGCTAAATGCATACAAGAACTAGACAATGATGGGAAAAAAAGAAAAACATGAAACAGTGAACATGATTCAAACTTACGTAGGGTTTTCTATGTATATTTCTGTTTACCTTGACTGTTGGTATAATTGAGAACTAGAAGTATAAATTGATACTGATCCAACTTTGTAAGGCTAATCAGTTTGAAGTACATTCTTCCAGATTTTTAAATACAGTTGCTAATATATGCTTTCATATTTCTACATATGTTGTAGATATTCATACAAAACAATGGATATCTGAAGAAAATTGTTGTTTGCATATAAAATGCTTGTTTTTCTAATTTACAGATATGAAGAATGTTCTACAGAGACACCGATTATCAGAAAGTGGCTACATGGTTACATTTCAACTTGAATTTCAGATTCTGGAAATGCAGGTAAATTAAGGAGCATGTTGAGATAACAGAGATCTTTCTTCTATGAGAGAAACAATTCCACACCCCAGCTTCTAGCAGTGACTGAGCTGAGGAGGAGTCCATGAGGCAGAGCTCCCTTAGCACACTTCATCACTTCAGTTTTGTTAAGTATCAACCCCCATCAGATGCACGTGGTAGGGTTGTTGCTGAGGCCATAGATGCTTTCTTGTAGAGCAGGTGTCACGATGCTCCTGGGCTCCCAGTGTAAGACCCTGAGGTTGCAGAACAGTGCTGGATGCCACCAGTAGTTAGCATATGGCCTGCCATCTGTTATCTGTAAGTTCCCTATAGCTGTGTAAGAGATTTCTCTAACATTTAGCATAGTAAAACATGAAAAAATACTACTTCACTCATTTTCTGTGGGTCAGGAATTTGGAAGCAGCCCAGTTGGGGTCCATGCTCAGGCCTTCTTTTGAGCTTGTAGTCATCTAGCACCATAGCCTTCCAAAGGCTGCTTTGGCTGGATGACTCCACAAGTTGTACTGGAGTGCTGAGATGCAACACAGGAAGGGAGACACCTTCCTGTTAAGATTTTAATACAAGATGATGAGGCAGACAGAATGATAACACAGCCCTACTGACCGGGGATGGGCAGTGCAGGCTGAAGCGTCTTCTAAGGCTGCCTTCAAGAAGGGCAGGATTCAGGCATAATTTTGAGAACTGACAACGTTTGATGGCAGAAAGCAAGTTTCAACCAGTAGATTTTACCATTTGGAAATGTGTACAAAGAAGAGGAATAAAACCAGTCCAGGAAGGCTGTCTTGGCTTCAGCTCTTCAAATGAATGTAAGTGTAGAGCAGATGTTAGTCAACCCTGTGGACCAGCTGCATTTTTGCAGTCAGGGAGTCAGAATTCCTCATCCTTGTCAGTATGTCTGCTTGTGAGCCTGTGTTCACACACATGGCCATGCGTATCTGTGAGAGCATATGTGATTATCTGTGAATGTAGATGTTCATAATAAGCCTTTGTGTGTCTGTATGTACACATCCCTATGCATACAGTTGTGATTTTTCTCTAGCTAGCACTGTGGTATTCACTTCTGTGTTGAGTTGTGTTTCAGTTTTATTTTTATAAGAGATGAGGATTGGTTATGGAGACCAGGGTAGCCTTTAACTCTAGATGCTCTTCCCTTAGCCTCTTGAGTGTGGGCACTACCACACTTGGTCTGCATTATATTGTTTTCCTCCTTCTTTTTATTGTCCCATCTCTAAGTTAGTGCATGTGCATCAGGTGCCAGCTGTCTCTGAGGGTTCCAGACTATGACAGGTAAGACAGTCATGGCTAACTGAGGCCTTTCTATGAGACAAATACTAGGATGCACCAAAAGTACAAGTAATGAAACGAGGAAAGTCATGAGAGCTAGAATAACCTGTCTGAGGTCACACGCCTTGTTGGAAAGAGGCACTGGGTGTGAACCTAACTTGATTTCCTCACAGTTGGGCACTGGCACATTCAGACCCATCTGGAGACAGTGGTGGGGTGGTTGTAGGTGTGACAGTGTATAGTTTTCCACATGGACCAGTCCAGGAAGCATTCAGCAGCATAGTGAACCTAGGAGATGTCTTGTCTGAGACAAAGTGTCAGTTGAGGAGAGCTTCAGAGATGCCCTCACTTCCCGGATACGGGCCAGAGAATTTAAAACCCTGTTGGCCAGGCACCCACTGTCCTGATCCACTGTAACAAACTCATATCTCTCTAAACCTTATAGAGTAAAGGATGTTTTCTCAATGTCTCCCATTGCACAGAGGCTCACTTTCCAGGAGAACCAACCCTGGAGGCCAGCCTCTGTCTGGAGAAACTACATCAGTACTTGATCACAATGCCAGTGGAGATGTTTCCAGAGGACCCCAAAGGTGACAGAGGGCAGGACAGGGCAGTTGCGGGGGGGGAGGGGCACACAAGCCACTCTAATCTCCCAGAGACCACAACAGATCCCTCCTCTTGTGGGTGTGTGTTTGTGTGTCTGTGTGTATAGGAAAATTTGATCCTCCTATTTCACTTGACTCTATGACAAAGTCTTTTTTCCAGTGAGCTACTGTCTCCATGCTTGAACTGTCCCTCTTTGGTCCCAAACCAGGGAGAACTTGTGCCAGCCAACTTCCTCTGTGAGGCCTACAGGGAGAAACTCTCCAAGGCAGAAATTTTGGAGAAAATGGTGCCTTCTGTGCTGTTCTGGGACCCCATCTTCCTCCCCACAACTAGGGGCAGCAACCGAAGGTTCACTGCAACAGAGCATGAGCTCAACAGAGTGTTCAAATGGTGAGCCCAGAGGATTTCCACTGCTGTGACTTAGCAATGCAGTGTCCTGCTCTTGGCCCAGTTTGTTGTCCAGAGTAGGTGGCTCAGGTTATTACTCCTAGAGGATGATTCTGGGACTCAGTAGGATGATCCCTGTATGTGATAGCCCAACGCCTCATCCTTCAGAGTCAGTCAACTAAGTAAACCTAGCATAATCTCTGCCTTTGGAAGGCAAGGTAGAATTATGGGATCTTGTCTCTTCCTGTAGTTGTATCACCACATCAATGCGTGGAACCAACTTCAGAACCTGAAACAGCTATTTTGGAGGATGTGAAACTCAAATTATCTCGTTCAGAGGCTGTGGAGTTTCAGACAGCTCCCGAAGAGACTCCAGAGCTCCATCAGGCAACAATGCCGGTTCCATCATACGAGTCTACCTGGCCTTCATCTGTGACCGTAGAAAAGGTGCTGATTAAGTATAAAACTCAACTCTGGATATTCCAGCCCAAATTGGTGGCAGAGCAATTAATGCTAACCGATGTAAGTGGTTGTGCAATCATAGTGGAGGCAGGCATTCTTGTGACCACTTCTGCCCAAATCTGGCATTCCCTGGTGCAGGGACATTTTTCCCATTGAATTCCAGGGAGCAACCTGAGCAGGGCCATTTTCTTAACCCAATAGATAATTCAACTCCACTTTGTACACTGTACAAAGGCCAACACAGTTACTATGTAGATTCAGGAATGGAACAGGACAGCCAGTCCCTGATTGATCACCTGTGCCAGAACTCCTGAGTGAAGCCTGAATGATTGGCCTCACTCCTTTAGTGAAAGTGAGAGGGAGTTTGAGCCTGTAGGTTTGTATGAAAGGATAGATTGGGTAGTGGGTGCCCAAGAGGCTGTGAGCATGAGCAGAAGCTGGACAGCTTCCTGAGGGAGGAAAGAATGACTTAGAGTCACCGTGGTAAGGTCTTGGAGCATGAATGTGAAAGGCATATCACAGGGTCCCCAGGATCAGGGACAGTGACCTTAACCTTGATACCTAGTCATGACAGGTCATTTTAGCTTCAAGGAGAGTGGGGAATGATAAGGGGAACCTGAATCAAGGAAGCCATATCACACAACTGCCAACTTGGCCTCACAGCACCTTCCATGGAAGGGTGGGTGTGGGCAGGGCAGGTGCCCTCCTGGGTGACACACCTCCTCAGAATAGCTTGGATCAAGGGCCCTTCACAGTGTTCTCAGAAAGAGTTGAGTGTTGAATGGCAGGTACATGACACCATCTAATCTAGTACTCACTGGGTGACTACACTCAGTGTGCTATAACACATCAACCCCCATCTCTGTGTTCTGTGACTTTGCCCTTGTCATCATTTCTCATCCTTTATACATCACCCAGGCCTTCCTGGGTGATGTCTGATCAGTCGATGGACATAAAGCTCACGCCAATTTTTAGTCAAGAATTGTAGAAAATATTTGGTTTGTAGGAGAGGACCATGCATTAACAATTTATTGATAATAAATATTATATGTAGAACTCTGTGCTGAAGAGAAAGAATCTTCTCTGGAGACCAAATTTGGACAAGGGGAGGAAACAAATGTGTGGGTGTCAGGACTGGCATGACCTGGGCCACTTACACTCTGGTGTAGCCTCCTGATGGCAGCCTTTGTTGCTCTCTCAGGAGAGGGAAAGCAAATAAGTGGACCTGTTTGCGACAGCTCCTCCTTTGGCAGGCAGACCCAGCGCCATAACCCAGGGCATCCTACCTAGGACTACCTGTAGTGTAGCTCCTATCCATCAGCCTGAGATTCTCCTCCAGGACAGGGCCCTGATATTGGAATCCTGGGTCCTAGCAACACTCCTTTCTAGGGTTGTCACCTCCTCTGTGAGGGCAGGAGGAAGTGGAGGCAGTTCATGTTGCACAAAGAGGGCAAGCTCAGCCCTGCAATCTACAAGAGCAGCTGCCTGGTTCACTTTGCTGTTTCTGTGCATTCTTACTGCTGCCTGCAGTTCATTCTGCTTTGTGGCACCGGGAGCAGTATTCTCACTTACCTTCACAAAAGCCCATCCTCATTTGTGTGTCTGTATATAGTTTTGTTTGGATGGCATTACTGTGTGAAGTTAGCCATTCTCAGTGTCCTTGATGCTATCTCAAATGGCCTTGAGCAGAGGAGAGGTTCATCAGAGTGGAAATCTGGTACCACAAGGATAACAGGAAGGGTTTCTTGTGATACCTGCCTCTCCCAAAGCCAGGATCAGCCCTAGTCCTGACAGACACCTTGAAACTCCTTGTCCACCCAGGATCTAGTTCCCATTATAAGGGTGGTCTCCACACCTCCACATTCCTCCCAGATCTTCAAATATCATGCAGTGTCCTGAATACCCCCAAACACTTCCAGGGATACACAGGGCTGTGAATATGCATGTAAATATGTGAGCTTGCATAAGCCATTTTGTCTGTATGTTTCCATTTCTATATACACATTTGATCTTCCCTTCATACCATTATGGAACTCAGGCTTGGGTAGAGTTGTGTTTCGTTTTTTATTCATTTGAGGGACAGCATCTTCCTATGTGGCTCAGTATGGCCTTGAACTTGAGATGCTCTTCCCTGAACCTCCAAAGTATGGCAATTGAAGATGTGTACTGCAATGCTTGGATTTCATTTTTTTTTTGGTTGATTCCCTTATCTACCCTTCTAATTGTCCCTTCTCCATATTAGTGCATTAGCTATATCTTCCAACTGTCCCTGAGTGCCACAAGTAACACAGGTAGCTATGGGCACGTAAAAGCAAGGGTTTCCTAGCTAGCAGATGCTAGAGTGACTACTCAATGAGAAAAAGGGGAGAGTGGGGAAGATGTGAGAACCACAATGACCTGTCCAGGGTAACATCCAAGGTTGGAAGGAGGGGCCACTTATGAATCCTGCTCTATCACTTCAAATTTGGGTTACTGTCTAGCCAGGCATGTCTGAGGACAGTGTGGGTGAGGGTTGGAATGTGGCTGTGTGTAGCTTTCCACATGGTCTGGGCAGGCAGGTGGGTCAGAATACCAGTGGACCTGGGGGAAGTTTTCTCTGAGGCAGAGGTTCAGTGGAGTACACCTTCAGAGATAAACCTAACTTATAGCATTGAAAGCCGAAGACAATGCAGACTTTGAGGACCAGCAAGTAGAATGCAGAGCAACTGCAGCTAGCTCATTTCTCTGGAGACACTAAAGAGTGAAGAATGTCCTCTTTGTGTCTCTTGACTGGCATATGGTTAGGCTCCAGGAGAGGCCAAAACAGAGGCCTCATCCACATTTTGAGACACTGGATCAGCTGAGGTACACACATCCTTTGGTTTTTCCCAGAGGACGCTAAAGGTGACACAAGCATTGACAGTATAGGTGATGCCAGCCATCAGACCAATCTGTCCCCTTGCATAAAGCAACAGCTCACTATTGATATGCCTGTGGGTGTGGGTGTGTATATACCTGAGTGTGTGATAAATTCTTTTTGGCAATTTTCACTTCACTATAGTGCAATCCTTTTTGCCAGTTGCTACTGTTTGTGTTTAAATTGTTCCTCCTATTTCTCCACGTAGAATGAAAATACATCAGCCTCCATGTTGGATGAGCCCTGCAATGAGCAAGGCAGGAACTCTGCAGAATTTGGTGACCGAAATATTGAACTCTGCCTTATGTAAGGACACCACCTGTATCCACAACTTTCTGGGCAGCTATAGATGCTTCACTACCACCGAGCAGATGCTGGATGTGCTTTTCACTTGGTGAGCACTACTTCAATACCCAAAGGACAAGCCAACTCCTAGCTGTGACTTGGCAATGCTCTGCTTTGCTTTTGTCCTGGTTTAATTGTGGAGACTGGAGTGCTCAGTAGAACCCTTTCATAAGGACCAAGAGGAATGAGCCCTAGAAATGCCTCTCCCAGGCCTGATCCTGTGGAGTTGGCCACCAGGTCTGTTGGTTACATTGGGTGTCCCCACCCTTCCTTGGAGAATCTCTTTGAGTTGGTCCTCACTTACCATGACCTCACCCCAGCAGTCTGTGTATTTTTAAAAGGAGGTTTCCCATGTCCTATAGCACATCAGGGACTGCTCCAGGTTCTGAGGAACCTAGACCCAGTGAGGTATCTGTAAAGGAGCTAGGTGACCTCACTCATTGCACAAATATACCCAAAGCACCTACTGTATGGGATTGTGTTTCCAGCCACATAGCACAATACAGTAAAAGAGCTGTCAAATTGTTGATGTCCTAGGCTCCATTCCCTTGGGAAGTCACCCAGGAACACTCGGTGTCATAACAGGTACAGTAGATGTGACACTTTCATGGACTTTTCTAGGTTTGACTCCAACGAAGATGACAGGCCAGAGGAAGAACTGAAAAAGTAAGCAGATGTTGGGGCCAGTGGTGTGGGCATCTGTCTAAAGAGTAGGGACTGTGTAGGCTGAGTTTGGTTAGGATTAGACACACCCTGTGATCCAAAACTCTTGTGATTCCAACTGCAGGGCTCAGGTCTAAGCTTCACCTGAATACAAGGAAGCCAAAAGAGCTGTGGGTGTCATTCTGAGCACTTGATTGCTAGATGAGCTGTTAGGACCTCAGAGCAGGACCCTGTTAATCCATCATCCAAAACACATCCCATCCTGTGGTAGTTGCCTGCCATGTTGCCCCTCAGGGCCACAGAAATGGATTGATGTCCTCACTTCATAGTGGAACTTAGCTGATACCCAGGGACCCAATGCATGCTCAGAAGCAGGCTTTGCCAATCAGGAGAAAAGTGTTATGGGCAGACAGACCACGCATGGTCTTCAGGGTATTGAGGCAGCTGGGAACTGCAATGTGAGGGCTCCCAGAGCCCGTGGTATGCCAGGCAGGAGTACAACCCTAGTGTAGTTGACATGAGGAAAGAGCCCCAGAGACACACGGAGCTGTGTGTGGAGAGTCCTTGGACAAGGAAGAAGTGCTCAAAGCACTTAGCTTGGGCTCCCTCTCATAGAGGATCCCGCAACTCCTGTTTTTTTTTACCCTGACTGCCATGGCCTGGACAGACAAATGGTATGGTCTAGAGTGTGCAGTACTTTGGATAAGCAGGGGTAGGCACAGGAACCATGCACCCATTAATCCACTGTGGCAGGGAAGGGAAGGGAAGGCCAACCTTGTGATTGAATTGCCCTTCCATCTGCCTCCAGGGGTCATCAATCTTGGTACCTGGCTGGATTATTTCTCTCAGGATTTCTGTGAACCACCACACTTTCCCGTGCCTGAAGTTATTACTTAATTACCTGGTGATTTATATGCCAGGCTCAGAAGTGGAGGTCCGAACGTTCCTTCTGCTGGACCACTGGGACAAGATGGAAGCTAAAAGTGAGGAGCCTGGGGACAGGGACAGAGAGCACATGAGGAGGGATGTGTGCACACAGCCCACCTTGTGTATATTCCTAGTCTAGTACTAGAGCAGGAGTAAGGATGAGCTTTGGACCACAGGGATTGAACCACAGTCTAGGAGGATGTCCTGCTGTGGGTTCTGGGCTCTGACTTCTCAGGGAAGCTGAGAGAGATCATCTCTGAATTTCCAAAGCTTCAGGGCAAGGTGGTCATGTGGGTTCTTATCTCCTCTTGCAGATCTAGCTACAGCTCCAATTTTGGCATTACAACCAAATCCAGAGCTTGAGCCAAATTCCTCAGGAGCACCAGAGGTGGAGCTGCCTCCTGTGGAGATGCCAGGATATAAGAGTGGTCCATTTGGAGAGCATTTAAGGCCTCAATTCTTGGACATGGAGCTTGACCTGATCAGGGAGAACCCTACTATATTGGCTTCCCTCATGACCTGGTGAATCACCACTTCATCCTGATGGAATCTGTGAGTGCTCTGCAGCTAGTATGGTTCGGTACCGATCCTTCTGACTCCTCTTGTGCCCTTATTCATGGCCTCCATAGCCATTTCCCCATTCAGATTCTTAGATCTACTATGAACATGGCCATTTTTCTAACCAGAACCTCATTTCCCCTCTTCAGTGCCTGAAAATTTGGTCCTCTGCCAGTAATAAATCAGAGGTGTGAGAAAGAGGTACAGCAGAAAGGACTTCATGTCCATGTTCTAGAAACCTCAGGCATTTGAGTGAGAGCTGAGGGGCTTGACCCCACCACCTCTGTGAGCAGAACATGGAGGTTATACTCTGCAGGTTGGTGTTAAAAGTTAGGGTTGCTCAATTCACCAAGACTAGGACCTTATGAGCCAGACTAAGAGCTGGACACCACCCTGAGACAGGAAAAGGCGATTTAGAAGTCATAGTGGGAAACCCTTGAGGTCAGAGTTTATAGGCCCAGGTGCACTGCAGGGACCCACAGTTCCTCAACAGCATCCTTGACTTGAGCTCTCTTTGGCACAAGGTCAGTTTAGCCTCCAGGAGGAAGAGAGTAATGACAGTGGAATCCATATACAGGAAGCCATACCCCACACAGATGGTGTCAACTCAGCATCTCTGAATCTTTGATGAAAGGAAGGGGCTGGTAGAACAGGGTCCCTCTTTAGTGACAAACCTCCTTGGAGTAGAAATACCAATTACCCTCACAGCCTACTCAGAGAGGTGAATGCCAGAACACCACCAAAAAATCCAGGCTGCCTGGATCACGATGAGCATGCTTGACAGGTCAATCCCCATCTTCTTTCTGTGGCTTCTGCTTTTGTCCACCTGTTACCAGTCTTCGTCTCAGTGATGAGGACTCTCACCTAGTGAGGGTTGATCTCTCCAGGGGCTCAAAGCTCTGTAGATTTTAGTTGAAAATTTGGGAAATCTTTCATTTCTAGGAAAGGGCCAAATGGGCATTTCATTGGCTACAAAAATTCTTAATACAATCTATCTGCGGAA